CCAAGGTTATATTAATTGGCGGCGCAGGTGATCTCTGCAGGCACAAGGTTATAAAAAACCCCATTAAAATTACCAAGTCTCTCCTGGACCTTAGGAAATAACAAAACGTAATTTGCATTGTGTTTGTGTTTTGTGGATGTCACTGCCCCTCTCTCTCTCCATTCTATGTTTATTTCCCAATTTCAGGAGAACATGGTGGAGGTAGAACTCATCGACTTTGTGAAGTCAGAGGGTGGGATCGGCGCCTTTCTGAGACCGTTGAGCAAAGGTCTCGGTGCAAAGATCGACAAACTTGCTGAAGGCGAACTCGCTGCCATTGTAAGTGCATCACCTCCTAACTAATATAAGTGCTCCTCTTTCAAGGTTGTCTAGATGTCTGCTAGTCTCCTTCGTCATGGAGCCTAACAGGCTGCACTCAGAAATCCCCTTTATTGCCCTCATGCACATAGTCCTTTTTTTTTCACTGCGAAACCACACATCCTACCGCAAGCGCAATAAAAGCCGAGCTTTGAGGTGTACTGCTCAAAATCCTCTGAACAACCAGAAGGCGTTTAATGAAGAGTTCAGCCTAATTGAATTAATTTTGCACATATTCCCACGTTTATTTGGCAACTATATGTGTCCTCGGCAATTCATCATCGGGCCAGTACAAGTGCATGGATAAGGAAATTAGTACAGCTGAACAGGGTTTAAATATGTCTTATTCCGATTTGGCAAACATATGCTTTCAGCAACTCTTCAACAAGAATGTACAGTTGGACGGCGTGAATAAGTGTACTTTGATCACAAATCATCGTTTTCACGCCACCAGCATAGCGAGATCGACGTGTAGAGGTCCTTGTGCTTGGGAAGGGGGGGAGAGATTGGGTTAGGTTGTGAGCACTAGGCGGGGATGAGGTACACGGCGTAATAATCTGTCATTTAAACAAAGCGAAGATCACGAGTTGAGCAGAATTTAATGACAGCATGAAATTTCGTGACCTCTCAATCAGCTGCTAACGGTTGTTGCCTATTAATAAGAGAAGTCCTGCAGGCTTTCATGAACTGCCCTGCTGTGACAATTACCCCTCCCCCTCCTCTTCCCCTCACCATGTGCCCACATCTATGGCTAATCGTTTCTACTGCCTTCACCTATCATGTTTCAACCTTCGAGACTGACACTTAATTGGACAGTTACTTTTCTTATCAATAGGCAACGACCGTTAGCAGCTGCTTGAGAGGTCACGAAATTTCATGACGTCATTAAATCCGGCTCAACTCATGATCTTCGCTTTGGTCAAATTCCTTCCGGGAAAACAATGTTTCAATAATCTGTCATTTGCCCGAAGCGAACGACTGTCACGAGGGTGTGGGGGGATATGCGATCGCCAGCTGGCGTTGGGGTCGGCCACGGAAGTGAAAGTGCTTGTGTCAGCGTCTTCTGACAACACAACACTAGGTACACTAGCCGTATAGCCACTGCCTCGGCTGTTGCCAGCACCCGTTGGCGTAGGCCCTTGAAGAAGTTGGCTGGGGTCTGGTAGGCAACCTTCTTGCAGGGTACGTGAGCACATACCGGCATGGTTAAGTAAAGGCAAAACTATATCCATCTTGGATTCTGTTCTCGCACACCTTGTCGATACGAATCATCGAGTTGATA